GATGTTTATTAAAGGAAACTGCACATATTTGTACACTGTAAATACAATATTTTATAAATGTACATAGCATATTATTGGCAAAAAAGGACAAATAAGAAAAATGTCAAGATTCTTGGAAGCACAGTTGGAACAAACCCAGGAATGCCACAGAATTTCCAATATACAGTAACTACATGTAAAGGCATGTGTATAATTGCAACATCAGAAATTGGACTATACCATGTTATAGTCCAACAGGTTCATTTGAAAACAAATTTCAAATAAGGCTGCTAGACTGTAACCTGGTGTCATTTGATTTCTGACCTTCTCCACCCCAGTCAACATTGTGGAGGTGCCAATATATTAAAAAAAAAATCACAGTGCACTGTTGTCATTTTCTTCTGCTCATTTTGGCGACTTGCTATCCAAGGTGCCACATTTAAACTTATGCGCCAACATACATGAAAAAAGTGAATGATCATGACTTTAAGAAGTTCAATAAGTGTGCAAGTTGGACATTCAACTGATCATAACTGATGCTGATCTTTAGTCTTCCAACTCAGTAGTGAGGTAACAAACCCTTAAAAGTGCAAATAGGGGAAAATCAGTACTCTTGACAGACCACAGTAAATTGCCCCCAAATGTTAGTAAGTTGGAACTTTTGAGAAAAACAGAAACAGAAATTTAGTATGTTTGATCCACTAGGAATTTTGAACTCAATGCACTCAGGATAGTATAATCTTGCATGTGTACACATCTAATTTCTACCAATATCACTTACAGGATCAAGTGGATTGGGGACAAAAAAAAAAAAATAAAAAAAAAAGGACACATCACTAAAGCAGCTTAGCACCCAACCCATTTTGAAATTTGGGCCCAAAAGAGAGTATAAATGGAGAACAGTCTGTTTGAACCGAATGCTGGGAGAAGACAAATTTTAGGAAGCGTAACCAGTCAAAATGAGCAAAAGCCATGAAGGTGCAACACAATTTTACAACAGGCATACATTTAAAAAAAGCCAAAAGTAAGCCACAGCAAAACAGAGGAAAGCGTATCCCCCATTCAACAGTACACAGTTTCCTTAAAATCTGGAAGATAATCAGTAGCTTTTTGCTCCATACAAAGTTGACAAATTCAGTAGCAATCTCTTTTCACAAACAACAACTTAAAGCAAAGACAGCTCACTAGTCCAATGTTTAACCCTATTGTACTAGAGTATTTCACATTAAAAAGGTATCATTTCTTTAGCAGTACACTTTATGGAAGACAAAAATTCTCTTACATCCTTACTAAAATGAAAACCAGGGATCCACATGCAACAACAGCCCCAAGGAACTGCTCAATTAGTTTACACTAGAGTTTGTGGAAAGTAGCGTTAGGCATTTGCTGATGGTCAAAAGATTAAACCATCATTCATTAATCCTTGAATTTTACTGGAGAACAATAAAAAGCAAAGAAAACTGGAGAAAGTGTCTTTTGTGAAAACATCCCATGCTGTCTATTTGTGGTGGGTTTTGGAGAATACATTAAACACTTTCTTTTGACGTAGTAACCAAAGGAAATCTTAGCTCTTAATGTGCATGACTTACAAAAATGACTAAGCAGCATGGATTCCTTTAGAGGAAGCAGGAGTGTGTGACTCTAACTGAACTGGTTATGTATAGGATTCCGAAGTTGTCCTACATTTTTACCAAAGGTCACATTAATTATTTCGATCACATGGATGTATGAAAACTAACTGGAAAGTGCTTATATCATACATTGCTGGGCAAACAATAAAAAGGGCACAAGTATATGTCCTGATTCAGACTCAGGTGAACTGACCTCAAGTCATGTTACAATCAGCGCTGATGGCTCCCTGAAGAGCTTAAATCAGTGTCACCCAAGTAAGTGCTGGAGTACTTTATTACAGTGCTGAAGAATTGTGTTAGTAGCTAGTTCAGACACCTACTCAGGAGATCAAATGCACCTGGTGGCAGTCTTCAAAACATCTAGAGAAAAAACCCAACTGTGCATTATAAAAAAAGGAGGCATTTTTGGTGATCTTTTCCTAGCACGTGGATCGCACAGATCTCCACTATAGTGTTAGGCTAACCCAGCTATCACAAACATCAAATAGCACAAAACATGTAAAAAGATAAAGATAATCTATTTAATTAGCCTGCATTTTCTACAGACTCCTTACAACCATACCATCCAAATACTCAGATACTCAAATTAGTGGTCCTGCAAAAACAACGTAATTTCTTTTGACCCTGTCCATCCAACTACAAAAAGTTCCCTTAGGATTTACTTCAAAAGCTCCACATGCAGAGTACTGATTGTTCAAATTTCTGGTTCTTCCCTCTGCCACCAAAACATCCAAAAGAAACTCCCCACTTCTGGAATTCCAATGGGAACCTTAAATCATTGATAATCTGTAGTTAAATTGAAAAAGGATTCTATATTTGAAATTTAAAAACAAATGGTTCAAAGTGATGCAAGAGGTTAACGTTCCCACAAATCCCAATTCCAATACTGATTATCCAAAAGTCAAAGTCTATTATTCACATTGATGTAATCATGTCAGCAGGGAATTGACAACGCCCAACGATAACATACAAAACTCCTCGTTTGCTTTCCTCAAGCATTCCTCTTTCAATGAGAGACGTGCATTTTTTCCTCAATTGCACTGTAAATTAGGTTGTGGTGGCGGTGGTGGGGGGGGGCGCGGGTGGAGGTGAGAAGGTGGGGGTCTAGCAATTTTTTCATTCAGCTCAATGTTTGGTGCTTATTTGGGAACATTCCCTTTAGACAACTTCTTGACAAAAGAACTGTAAAATGTAAATATGGACAGCATATTCTCACAAGTTGTAGATTTGCTCAACTTTTAGTAACCACACTAACATTAACTGCTAAGAAATTACAATTTTTCATACAAAAAAAAAGGTGTGTCACAAATCAGTGTTTGGATAGAACATCAGCAAGGCTAATAATTGAAAATGAGGCAGCTTAATATCCACTCAGTAAAGCTCACAAAAATGTACTGTCTCTGGGATTTACTGAATACTTTCAATGTCTTACTACACTGATGCATTAGAGCAATTTTTGACTACTTGAAAAAAAAACAAATTTAGTCACAAAAAAGTCACAATACCATGCAAGCAGTAGTTGGAAACAGTGGTGTAGTTTTCAATATAAACCACAATGGAAGAGATTTTTTTTTTTTTAAAAAAGACAATGCTCAATACGAAGTAAATGTATAATGGCGAGAAATTTTTAAAAATACACAAAGCAGAAAGGATAGGTGACGTGGAAAACAGCTACATGTACACACTCTTAAAAAGGCAAAAAGGTTCAGTGTACCAAGTTACAGCACACTCATGAATGTGCTTTAACTGGAGAATGCATTGTTATCTTGCATGCTTTGCTTCAGTATATAATTGTGCACTGTAAATGCAGGTATACAGAAAATACTTAAATATACCACTATACAATTCAGAGTTCTTCATACACTAGAGTTAAGTTACAACATTGGCAAAGAAAAACTGAACCAGTCTTACTTTATACAGTTACCATACAAGCCACAAAATTAATCTACAGTTACAGACAAGTCACAGCAAAGTTACAAATTAAAATGACTCAGCAAAATAGGAACTTTCCCACAGGACAAGGTAAAGTCTCCAAAACTTTCAGTGTACAGAAAGTCCTGCAAATACTTTCATACATACCAACACTTGGTTTGACACTGGATGGGTTCTTTGAATATTTGCAATATCCACCCACCCACCCAAAAGATCATTGAACAAGTAAAACACCAAACCATGATTCAGAAGCTGCAAAAAAAAAAAAAAAAAAGGAAGGCCACAAAGCAAACTGCATTTAGAAAAACATCTATTCTTCAAGGGGAAAACAAACTAGTCTGGGGTTTTTGAAAAAGGGCTAACGCTAGTTATTCAATACAGTGCTAAACATGGATAAAATAAAATTCCAGCTTCCTGATAAGAACGGACAACTTGAAGTTCTGTAAGACCCCTTGTATTCAAGGTGACATCTTTGTTTTATTTTGAAATAGAAAGAGTGTAGAAATGAACAAAATGATGGGTTAACTTGCCTTTAAGATAATGATAAATTAGGCAATATGTTACCTTTAAAACTTGGATTTGCTGCTTCTGAAACATTAAATTTAGTGATAGAAAAATGCCCAGGAATGCAATGGTATACAATGGCCTCAGGTTACAACATGCTCTTTTATTAAAAAAAGAAATACTTTCTCCGATCATATTTTCCTGATAACATTTTTCTGGAATACATGTTTCAATTAAAATTTGCATTTCTCCCATCATTTTGTCTGCCTGCCTAACTTCGGTATCAAGACTTTAAAACTGTCCACTTCCCAGCCTTTATCCTCCATCTCCCTGAAGATGACAATCACTACTCCGATCACTCAACCAGCTTTCTCTTTGATGGTGGAATCAAATGCTGTGGAATTTCACTGGGTAGTTCGTGACCTTCTAGTTTGACCTTAATTAAGTGATTAGCCAATGCAAACTCCTCATCATCCAACATACCATCCTTATCTATGTCTGCCAGCTTCCAAATTTTCCCTAGCACAGTGTTTGGAAGCTTGGACTTTACCATCTCCTTCTTTGCATTTGCCCCTGTGACTTTCCCATTGATAGGAGAGAGGGTGTAGAAGATCTCGTCATAGCTTGGTTTGTCTCTGATCACAACCCATTCCAGGTCATCAATGCCCTCACCAGCTCCTTCACCGTATCCATGTCCAAATGGGCCATTTATCGTGCCTTCAAAGGCCCCACCTTTCACAGTTTGGGCAGGCCGCTGGGTTTCTTCCTGACGTACTAGGATCATGAGCTGAGCAATGTCATTTCCCAACATGTCATCGACTGTCTCCAAAAGTTTAAGCTTCAGTGGCTGAAACTTGGCAAAATCCTGTGCCTGCAGTAGGTCCTGAAATCAAAAACAGGATGTAATTAACTTGAGCATTGAGGATTCCCTGCTCGTGCATAAAGAGCAGACAAGTTCTGATTTGTACCAAAAGGACACATACCAAGAGAACTATAATCAGTTCGGAAATTAAAATCTTACACTTGGGCCATTACCTATACCAGTGTATGATATTTCTGATTGCAGTGTTTGTCTCTCACAAATACTATACACTATCACTAGTTTTGATCCATAGCTCAATCCAATTGTTGCTGAAATACCTTTATCACTTTCTTGGATTTTGCCTGACCAGACTCCCATCTTGGTCCCACTATAAACTTTAGTTCATTCAAATCTCTGCATTCTGTAAACTTACTGTCAATTCAACGAAAGAATATTCAACTTTGTCCTGATGCACATGGTTTTCCTAACATGGAGATCTTCTGCAGCCTACAGACATAAACTGGCAGAAATCAATTTTGTTGGTTGGGAAGGAGGCAGAGGCAGTGAGGAAGGCAGAGGAGTGGGTATATCTAGGAATTTAGCACAGATGGGAAAAAAAAAGGTGCTTCCAGTAAGCTTTACTGCACAAAAGAAAAGCAAACAGTGCACCGAGGAGGGAGCTCAAGGAAAGACAAGAACGTTTTCAACTACTTTTCAGCACACGATTTCCAATTTTGTGCAGGTTAAATCAGAAACTGGTACGTTGAGAAAATAATTATATTGCTTCATCATTATAAAGATCACTGGCGTTGCTAAAACAATTTGGGAGGTGTAGCTTGTATTAATTATAATTAGCATATATTAGATATGGCAGGGCAGGTGATATGCTGCCATTGTTGAATGTGGGAGCTTTTAGATGATCCAGTATGACCTAGGACATGGGGGTGCTGGTATTGAACTGGAGTGGACAAAGTCAGAAGTCACAACGCCGAGTTATAGTTCAGCAGGTTTATTTGAAAGGTGATGTTAGGTGATGAGGGATCAGCGCTCCGAGAGCTTGTGATTTCAAATAAACCTGTTGGAATATAACCTGGTATCATGTGACTTCTGACAGTGTGATCCAGGGCAAAGCTATCTGCAGGAGTGTCAGCTCAGTTAGGGAGTTGAAGGCTTAGCTGCAAACACTACGGCACAAGGGGACCTAGAGGACGGGAGTCTCAGACTTTGCTATTATCCAACATGTTTGAGGTTTTCTCTACTTTTACAGATGAGCTAACTGGTCATGTCAGCATCATACAAGGAAGTCATTCAAGGGAAGGGAATAAGATGGATTGTGTGATAGGAGAGGAATCATGCAGTAATCTGATTTGCCATGATCTAATTGAATGGTAGGATAAGTCAAGCAGGCAGCGTGGCTAACTTTGGCTCCTAATTCACATACGCATGTGTACGCTGAAAAAATCAGCGCTTTTAGAAGCCAAAAGAACTGCAGATGTTGGAAATCAAATTGCTGGAAATGTTCTGCAGGTCTGGCAGCATCTGAGGAGAGAAAGCGGAGTTAGCACTTCAGGTCCAGTTACCCTTCCTCTGAACTGATGGTAACTAGGAAATAGTTGCTTTTTATGCAGGACCTAGGCAGAGAGGGGGGCAGGAGTAAATGATAGGTGGAGATACAGCACAAGAAGAGAGAGAAGAACAGTTGGACAGACAAAAGGAGTGGATAACGATCAGCCTAGGAGAACAATTAGCAGCGAACAATGGTTTGTGTGTAATAGTAGACCATGTGATAACAAGGCCCGGTGTGGGGGGTTTGGGGCGAAAGACGTGGGAGGAGGTACCTCAAGCCCTAAAACTGTGACTCAATATCGAGTCCAGCAGACTGTACGGTTTCCAAGTGGAAAATGAGATGCTGTTCTTCCAACTTGTTCTAAGCTTCACTGGAGCACTGCAGCAAGCATGAGATTCAGGTTGGCCAGGGAACAAAAACAAAAAAGGTGGTGTTGAAGTGGCAGGCAACTGGAAGTTCATTTTTGCAGAATGTTGGTGCTTTTACTAGATTAAATAATTTTGCTGATAGCTATCACTATTCAATACAGATGAAATCCCTACAGCAATTCTAGTTTCTTGCCAATGTTTAAAAAACAGATTTTTAAAATCTTCAAAATCAACAGTAAAAAAAATGAGTTATTAGAAAGCACTTAATCAGGGGATGAGATACATTAGGTGAATTTTAATTTCACAGCCTTGACTTATTTAAAAAAAAGTCTAGCAACAGCTGCTAGCTTCGCCTGTGAACTCACCATCCCATGCCAAACATTAATTAGTCTTGAATTGATTGGTTCTCTGGGGCAACAAACAGTTGGCCGTCAGCCACATTTCTGTGGGTCTAGAATCACATGCAAGTCTGACTGGGCAAGGACAGATTTCTTTTGTAAAAAAAGGACATTAACAAATTAGATGGATAATAACTGAATGGTTACCCAGTTGCCACATTTTTACAGGAATGAACAAAACAAGTTTATAACAGTGGTGCTAATGTTGCATCTGTGGCAATGTTGGACTTTTGAAAAAAAAAGGAAGAAATGAATAAACATCGCTTAAGACTTTGAAAAAAGTATTTATCAAATATACAATGATAAAATTAGGACAGTGTGCGACGACTTAAGCTGTTAATACTTAACAAGCAAGATTACAGAGCAAGTATACAAAATTGTCAAAAGTGTATAATCAGACAAACACATTCAATACAAGGATGCCAGCTTCCAATACATTTGGCTCATAGGTACTGTGCTAGTAACAGCAATATTAAAGAATGTTAATAAACTGTTACCTGCATTTTCTTAATGTTAGGAAAATCCCCAGGGGAGATCTGATGCTCTCGTTCAATCCTGGCATAAATATCTCCAAGGCTGTTAATTAGTTCTTTTTTCTTGCTGTCCTTGCCAAACACAGATGGCATCTCTTTTCGTAAGGCACTGATGATGTAGGCATGAACCTGGGAACAGGAAAAACCATGGCAAATTAATTGTATTTCACTTGTACAAGTACTCAAATCCCCATTTGACAACAGAAGATGGGGAATTTCTCATTTTTGGTGTAATACAAGTACCATAGTAGCATCCAGAGGTTACAAGTTCAATACCATCACAGCAAATAAAAAAAATGCAAACCTATCCTCAAACGACAAATCACAGAAGTTCCATTGAAAACTTCATCATTGACTAATTTAGTCAGGATGGGAGTCTGAAACTCGTACTCAATCTGGTCTGCACATTACTCTAGCTCTCACTTTGTAACTACCTCAAATACCTTCTGAAATGAGTCTCATATTCTAACCACAAAAGATTTAAAAAAGATTAGAAAAGAACTAAATCAGAAAAATTCTAATGGTAACGACCCAGAAAATCATGTCAATCATCAACACATTTGTTTCCTTTAATGGGGGATTTTTCGCACTGTGGTTGATGGGTCTGTTCAATTTCATGTATTTCTGCTCTTATTTCTCAAAAGTAGGATAGATATCCACCAGTCCATAAATTATGTCTCCTCCTGCTCCATTTTCACTGTCACTAGCCCAATGTTCTCTCTTTACATTTCTCTATCAGAATTCCAAAGCAGAACAGCAATGATACCCTGGCACACTCTTCAGTCACCCCCAACTTCCCTCTTTTCTATAGCAGCTTTCCGTGCAAGTATTAAGAATTCACTAGTGAGATCAATGATGCATTGGTTTCAATTTTCCAAAGCTCCGTCAGTTCAGGGACATTCTCTAAATGTTCTCAGCATCCCGGCCTTGCCTCTCCATGCTTTTATGCATTGGCATCTCAGCTGGAGTTTAAGAAGATTCTCTGCACCCTGGGGGCTGCTATGACTTCTATACACTGGAGAAGTCTAGTGATCCTGCTACATTCCAGAGTCCAAATGTCTTACAAGGCTACTTACTGGGGGAGGAGGGCCACCCACTGTGACCAGGATTGATAACAGTTGCTGAGGCTAGGAGCAGATACAATGCTACATGAAGTTTGACCAGGGCTATGGTGGAGCAGACAAAAAGATACAGTTCTGATGCTTGCAGCAGTGTAGTGGAGTCCTGCAAAATACCAGACAGAATGCTCGTGGCAGTTGGCAGTATTGCTCTGAGCCAGGAGGCTGGGGTTCAATGCTACAGAGGTGTATCATAACATCTCTGAAGAGGTTAATTAGAAAAAGTTTCTATACTCTGGACTGGCTGTGTCACACCATCCTAATATATTGTGCTCTGTACAACTGGAACAGGTAATAAGGGAATAACAGTTAGAGGAACTCAGAGCATGGAGCAGTCTTCATGAAGAGGATGAGCAGGAAGAGCCTCACCTTGTGCCTGACTCAGCCTGTAGTTTGGCACTGTGAGCCAGTCAGGATGTAACTGACACCCAGTTCCAGCGGATGAGAACTGGATGAAGTTACACAATACTTGTTGCTCAGCATGCAAATAATTAGCTTTTATTCCAGATAAGACAACTTGCTCCCTGTACACTTCTGGAGTTTGCTAGCAAGTTAAGTCTTCCATATTGTTTGAAGGCTCACCTGTATGTGTACATCCTCCAGTGAAGAATGAAGATTATAGCTCACAATCAGCATTGGGGATAGAGTAGTAATGACCTAGAGAGGTAGCAGGATGCAATGCAGCTAGGAATGGGTGTGCTGTGTGACCTGGTGGCCAAACAGCAATGAAGGCAAGACCTGCCAAATATTTCAAGTACTTTTTGTACCTTTATATCGCACCATCCTTTATGGGGAGGCAACAGCCTAGTAGCACAATTAATGGACTGTTAATTCGGATGCCCAAGTTAAATGTTCTGGGGACCAGGGTTCGAATCCCACCATGGCAGATGGTGGAATTTGAATTCAAACAAATCTGGAGTTAGGAGTTTAATAATGATGACGACAATTGGCAGAAAGCCCATCTGGTTCACCCATGCCTTTTTGGGAAGGGAACTGCCATCCTTACCTGGTCTGACCCACAGCAATGTGGTTGATTCTTAACTGCCCTCTGTGTTGGGCAATTAGGGATAGACAATAAATATTTGTCTAGCCAGCGATGCCCTCATCTCATGAATGAATGAATTAAAAAAATGGAATCCTTGCAATAGTGGGATGTGCCAGAGTGGATATTGGTGGACAGCACATCCCCAGAAATGGAAAGAGTGAAACTAAGGGAGAAAAGAATCAGATGAACCAGGCGAGAAGGATGGAAATTGGAAGCAAAAACAAAGCTTCACTTTCCCATTTCTGGACAAGAACATCATTGGGAGGGGTGTGGGTGGAACTGAAAAGTTGTGGGTGGGCACTCAAGTGGCTGTGGACTGTTCCATATATCCTGCAGACAGGCATAACTGGGATTCACATCAGTATCCATGATCACACCTTTGACTTGGACAGGAAAGGTGTGCAAATAAGTGTTATTGGAAGCTTGGGGTCATGCTTATGATCACAAAGCATTGTGAGAATTGCACACTCCACAACAAAAAAAAAATTGTTAGCATTACAAATTAATGCAAAAGCATAGCAGAATTCCGATTAATATTACTTCCCTTACTACAAGTGATGAGTGATAAATTCAGGCTCTTTTCATATTTAGAATGTTCCAGGAACTAATATGCATCCCAAAGGAAACTGCATCTGCTGGGATGTTTGACATTGAGCTTGCAGATCACCAAATTAGCAAGCCAGCTGAACTTCAACAAAAGTTTGTCCAAGAACAACAAGTTAGGCATTGCATACTCTTAATACCTGACTAGATACGGGGAGATTTCACAGCCAGATTTTAGACTAAAGGCAATTGTGACCGGGTCATTATTTCTAACAATGAAATCAGCAATATTTTTCAAAGTAAAGGGACAGAGAAAGAAAAACCCTTACAGGTAGGCAATTTGTTAAAGCACACAAAATGGCCAAAAAGTGTCCATTCTTTACAACATATGCAAAAGCCAACAAGTTCTGAAAGCTAAAAATCAAGGCTTGTGGCAAGTTTGATCTCTTCAATGCCCAGAAGTACCAGCTATCAAGTTTGGCTTCATGTGTATTGGTAGCCTTCTTGCTTCTTTCAAAAAAGTCTTGAATGCCTGAACCGAGTCAGTCATACAGCTATACAGCCCAGTCTGTTGAACAAAATGCACCACAGATTAGCCCCATAATTTCCCCACAGGATCTCAGCACACAGGCACATATCAGTTTATTTCCTCCCTGACTTTAGAACTGGAGAAATTATCACCTGGTGTCAAACTTGAGATCCTTATGTACACAAGCAAAACATATTGTGGATGCTGGAAACTGGCAATAAGAGCAAAAGCTGGAGAAGCTTAGTTCTGGCAGTGCCTAGGGAAGGGGTTGGGTTGGGCGGGGCGCTGGTGAGGAAGAGGGAGAATATGTTGAGGTAGGGGATAAGGAAGATGGAGTAAACTTAGAGTCTGAAGTGACTGATCAGAACTTTAAAAAAAAAAAAAAGAAAAAAAAGTCTGGAATTCTTATTTTTAAATGCTGTTGACAGATGGGGAGGACAAATCACTTCCACTGTTACTGTTCTGCAGGAACCATTCCATGTGCAACATCCTGATTCAATCCTGTCACTCCCAACATTTCCTCTGCACCATGGCACCTTCCCAGGCAGTGGCACATGGCCTAACACTTGCTCTTTCCCTTTCTCTTCTCACTGCCCAAGGCTCTGCACATACTTCCCAGATGAGGCAGTGTTTTATCTGAACATTCAATTTGGTTTACTGTATTCACTGTTCACAGTGTAGTCTCCTATACATTGGCAAGGCCAAATGCAGACTGGGTGAATGCTTTGCCTGTAGCAATGATCCCACCTTATAGTTGCTTGCCATTTCAAGAAAAGAATCTTATTCCTATGCCAGCAATTCCACCTAGGGCCTGTGTTCCAATGAAGTTCAAAGCAAACTGGAGGAACACCACCTCATTTCCCAATTGGGGACTTCACATCCTCCAGGACTTCAGTTAGAGTTCCACAACTTCAGCATATGACCTCTCTCCTCCATTTTGATTACCTACTTCATCCTGTTGGCTTTCCTTTCAGTACAGCAGACCTATTTTCTTCCCATGTACCAGTATCAGCACTCCCTTTCAAACTTTGTAGTTTTGTTCTGGGCAGCTTCACCATCTGTTCCATTCACTTCCTCCCACTTTGTCACCAGCATTCAAGAACAACCCCCCACCATTTCCCAATTTTTTACGTTCTGAAGAAGTCATATTGAACTCTAGAACTTAATAGCTGTTTCTCTCCACTGATGCTGCCAGACCAGCTAAGTTTCTTCAGCATTTTGTTTTTGTTTCCAAGATCCTAGTGTTCTGTAGGATTCTATTTGGACAGTGGGATGTGCCTTTATGCACTGATCCTTAACTTCTTTTAAAACTAGGAGAAAAGAAATGAAATCTCGTTCCCCGCCCCCCCTCCACTGACACCCTCATCCGAACTTGTCCTCACCCTCAACAACTTCTCTTTCAATTCCTCCCACTTCCTACAGACAAAGGGGGTGGCCATGGGTACCTGCATGGGCCCAAGTTATGCCTGCCTCTTTGTAGGATACATGGAACAATCCCTCTTCCAAAGCTACACTGGCCCTATCCCCCACCCCTTCCTCCATTACATCGATGACTGTATCGGGGCCGCCTCGTGCTCCCGAGGAGCTCAAACAGTTCATCCACTTCACTAACACCTTCCACCCCAACCTTACGTTCACCTGGACCATCTCTGATACCTCTCTCTCCATCTCTGGCATCCACCTGGAAACCGATATCCATTTCAAGCCTACCGACTCCCACAGCTACCTGGAATACACCTCCTCTCACCCACCTTCCTGCAAAAAAGGCCATACCCTATTCCCAATTCTTTCGCCTCCGCCGCATCTGCTCCCGAGAGGGGCATTCCACTCCCGGACATCCCAGGTGTCCTCATTTTTCAAGGACCACAACTTCCCCTCCACAGTGGTCGAAAAC